CCCCCCCCCCAGATAAATCCATATTCAGCTTAGATAAACAGAAATTTTAATTTCATTTTTCATGTTCAGCAGAGCTGGGGGAAAAAAATCAGCTCTGACATACTGTTATAAACTTACAGTGGTTCATTCCACCACTGTATTGTGTACGAAGTCATTCTTTATGGAAATTAGAAGGAAAAATGTTTTATTTAATCTCTTCTTATCACACATTAAGGCTTTTCCTTTTTACACATTTCAACCACTTTGTATTTTAATATTATGGTTAATGTTGTAATAGCACTGGTGCCTCTGTATCCATGCTGGGTCTGTGGCTATGGGGGATTTTCCCAAAAGTGACAATGTAGTGAGTCTCACTCTAGGGGCACAACAAGAGGGACAGATCTTGACCACCTTGCCCTCTCTCTCTCTCTCACTCACTTACACACACACACACACACACACACAAAGCACACATTGCTTCCTCCTTAAAAAACCCGCTGGTAAACGCAAAGGGAAACTCCCAACCAAAAATCCTAAAGAATGAATATCTGACAAATAACTAAAACTTTTGCAAACAGCTTTACACCCACAACAGCAACATTTTGCAGAAAAAAAATGTTGTGCTAAGCAGACTTTGATGAAGAAATTTTGAAACTCTTGTTTCTCCTTATATCTTTATTTTGAGGGAAATAGGGGCTTTTTGTGGTTTGCCGACTGCTTGTCCCAAAGGAAAAAAAACACAGCACTCTCAGGTCTGTGTTTAGAGCTGTCTCCACATTGGAAACCAGTTCGGTCTTGAGACTTTTTTCCTCATCATTTGGCTGAAAACCAGAGTGCTGGTTTGTAGCAACTGGTTCCAGTTTTGTTATGTGCGTGAGCCATTTTATGTAGCGTGTCCTGCATTCCAGCAAGGCAATTTTCAAAACTGCTCTGGTCACCTCCCCCCCTCCAGCACTGTCTCTTGCTAGGTGGTCCATGAGCCACTCGCTTTTCCTACCTCACGAGTCCTCAGCTGGAAGTTTTTCCCTTCATGGTAACAGTTGTACGTCTTCAGCAGTGATAAGATATCAGACCTGAGCATGAACACACAAAAGGATGAATCAGTTTTAAAAGTGAGAGCACTGATAAAAATTTAATAAATGTGAATTTCTACTGTAACGTAAAAACTGTCCAGTGATGGAGCAAGGAGCACTTACTTTGGTATGAGTTTCTCCTCACTGAGCTTCACGTAGGTCTGATGCGCACTCATTCTGACTAGAGTGCAGCTGTGGCAGAAAAACATCAAACACCAAAATTAAAATATGCATGTGATGCTAATGTACCAATAATTTTGACTGTGAGAGTCTGTGTGGATTTAAGCAGTGAACGGAAACGCAGAAATTCATTTAAAGCATATAATAAGAATAGTGCAACTTAGTGTTATTTGCTGTCATACTTTTTCCAAAGTTGGAGATCTTTGGGATGTTTTTTCCTCTTGTAATGAAAAGGATTTCAAATATTTGCTCCAGTGTTAATGGCAAGGACAGTGGTTTAGGAGAAATCACATGACATTGGCATGGAGCCATCATGTTGTATCATGTTGCAATAGAGCAGCGCAAATGGCAGAAAACAACATCTTAATCTAATTAAGGGGTTAATGGCCGCTTCAGTGGGCATCTTATGTGTAATTATATGTAAAACAAGCGGACAAGAAAAAAAAGACAGCAATCGCTGCATCATTTATGTCTGTGTCACTTGTGTCGTCTTCTTTTTTGTTTCAGAATCTAGTGGACAGCACAAAACAAAAGGGAAACCTATTAATCAATGGGTGCTTTTTTTCTGGCAAAAGCAGGAGAGATGTCCCTGATCCTTGCCCAGATTCCTGTATCCTGATACTGTGGAGGGAAGGTGGTACAGGGAAATTCCTCGCTGGGAAAACACACCACGTGGGGGAGGAGCATGAGTATAAAGCAGCCAACATGTGGTTCTGGGCTCAGTGTCAGCGTCCTTCAGCATGAAGCTTAATCCTCAGTCCGTCTGTGCGTTCGCTATCCTTAGCCTTTGCTGTGTACTGATCACAGGTAAGAGTCTTTTCACTTATCCATGCTTACAACTAAAACTCACTCTTTTTCAGGGTTTGCAGTAACTTAACCTGTGCTGTTGGTTGGACTGAGCTGACTTTTGATCTTATTACAATTTCTGTGCAGTGAGAGAGTCAAACAGCACATTTATCCCGGGGAGATGTGTTTGTCCAAAAACACAACAGGGTGTCAGAGGTCAACTGAAGGCACTCAAAGTGTTACTACCAAGCTCTACTTGTCACAACGTCACAGTCATGTGAGTACCAGATACTGCAGACACACTTTCACCTCTTCAGACATGTGTGCACTGAGTTGATTGTAAACTAAAAGTGTTGTTTCGTGCGTTTTTCAGAGTCACCCTGCAAAGAAACAATAAATCACTGTGCCTGAATCCAGAAGCGCCGATGGCCAAACAGCTGATTCGCTGCTGGCTTAGGTGAGATTTATCTGTTTGTCACTGGTCAGTAAACTAATGAACACATAGGGGATACACCCGTCTTCAAAGTTCCTGTAGATTGCAACCAACAGTGTCTTATAAGTTGCCCAGCCGGTTTTTGTAACAAAGCACGTGGTTGTACTGCTACTTAATCTTTCCTACTGCTTTGCTGCTTGAGAATCAGTAACAAATTTCAGTTGCAGGTGAATTTATTGCACAACAAAAGAATACAAATTTCTATCAGACGAAGAAAAAGGGTCTGATATTAAGTACTGATACTTATTGCTGGATTTTCTAAGCTCATCTTTTTCTTAACTGTGTTCCTTTATGTTTTTCCCCCTCCAGAGTTCAGCAGTTGGGTCGTGATGTAAAACTGTGTCTACAAAGGAAGAAAAGGAGAGGGGGCCAACGCCAGCAGACTCGACAGAGGAGAAAAGGCCAAAACAGGAAAGTCTCATCCTGAGACTCTCAGTAGCTAGTCAGACCAAGGAAGGAAAAAAATGACACCAAGTATGTACAGAGGAGAAGTGTGCGCAGGGGAGAAACTACTGTAAGGCCACTTGTGTCTTTTCTCTCTCTTTATGTCATTGCAGACATTAAGCTTCTTTAAATTGTCTAAGCTCTACATCAAAGTCTCCTTATTATTTCATTCTAAATGACTAATGTATTGAAGCAAAGCCCTGGAGGCTCATAAATGAAAAAATAAGTCCATGGTTCTGTATATGCAGCTGGGAAGACCAACTCGAGATTTTGTGGTTTATATTTATATGACTGCTTGATGTTTTATACTTTTTTATTTTAAATAAACATATCTGAACAATTCTGTGACTGTGTTATTTTGGCTTAAGCCTTTGATATTCTTAATAATTGAAGGAAAGGAAAGGGATTATTTCCTTGGCAGGGTATGCGAGGTCACCGAGCAGACAGCCTCAGCTTAAGCTAATAAACTAAAGGATTCAAGTCAGCTGCAGGAATAAAGCAAATTGTTTTCACTTAAACTTTGTATTGGTATCTTAAATTTATAACCTATAACTAACCACGTGTTGTTTTTATAATCTGGATGCATGACATCCTTTTCCATGGCTCTTACCTATGATCAGCAGAGAGAATCCCTAACGTAAAAGCAATGGAGAAACTGATCACCATTACTGTGCATAGTGGTTATTGTGTATACTGAATTTTATGACTACAATGGTTGGTGGTGTTGCACAATAGATGCGGAAACAACTAGGTGATCAGGGTGTGGATTTTGTAATGTTTTATGATAGCTAGTTAAGCTCAAGATCCGTTTGAGATTTCGTGTAAATCATGTGACACCCTACTGGAGTCAAAGCAGAATATACAGACACAGAGAGAAACTTAAGCAATAAATACTTTTTCTTGCACTGCATGAACTGAATAAGTGAAGCATGCACTGACCTGTACCATTTCCCCCTCCCAGTGTTTAAAGAAGAAAAAAAAGTAGAAGTATGTGAGCTAATATGGAAAGTGAAAGTCCTCAATAACAGCACCTTTGTTAAGGTGTTGATTTTAGGGACTTTTCTTATTTGTTGTGGGAAAGTGGCGATTCCTTTGGAACCAGGTATTTATTAGGTATGACAGGATTCTTGTAGATGATGCAACAGGATAACAGTATTGGTAGACAGCTATAGAAGAACTCAGTATGTTTATAGTTTAATTATCTTTACCACTAAAGGATTTTTATGAGAGGCAAGTAAAGGCCAAGGTGTAAAGTAATATCTACATTTCACCAAAAGCTAATGAAGAGGAAAGAAGTACAACACTAGGAAAAGGGAAAACAAAAAATATAGTGATTGAAAAAAACCCGACTGAAAATGAATTGTTATTCTAAACTTCAATGCTAATTTCTTAAAAAAGAAAAATCTTGATAGTAATCTTGGCCCTTTATACAAACCGCTTAACACATTTAAGGCTTGTGGGGTTTTTTCCCCTCACCTGATAACATACTACATTTATCTGATCATAAGATTATATTATAAGTAAAGTGAAAAAAAACATGTCTTATCTTCACCAAGAACATGTTTATGCAACACGCAGATTAGTCACCAATGACATAGAATAGATGATGCTATGGTGCCATCTAGTGGCTATTGCAAGATAGAACTTATGAAATCTTAAAGCAGTGTGGTTCCCGCTTAATGTGCCTCTATTACACACTCAATTTATTATGTACACCTGCCCCACAGTTCTTTATGCAAATAATCATATACCAGCAACTAAATACATTTAAGCATATAAATATGGTCAAGGTGACCTAGTGAAGCTCAAAGCTTTGAATGTACTTTGAATGTTGCATGGTTGTTGGCGCCAGACAGGCGGTCTGAACATTTCAGAAACTGCTGATCTATCGGGGTTTACAGAGAATTATCTGAAAGGGAGAGTGGCATTTCTCTGGGGAAAATGTCTTGCTGATGCCAGAGATCAGAGGAGTATGACCAGACTGCTTTTAGTTGATAGGAAGTAACTCAAATAACAGCTTATTACAAAGAAGGTATATTGGTACCTTAAAACAGATGGGATCCAGTAGCAGATACCAGAGTGGGTTCAGCCAAGGATAGAAAACTAAGGCTACAATTCACACAGGCTGATCAAAACTGGAAAATAGAAGATTAGAAAAATGTCACCTGGTCTGATGACCCTCTGTCTCTGCTGCAAAATTCAGATGGTTTGCGCAAACGACATTTAAGCATGGATCCAACCTGCCTTGTATCAGCGGTTCAGTCTGGTGGTAGTGGCTGCTTCCAGCAGGATAACACACCGTGTCACAAAACTCAGATTTTTTCAAACTGGCTTCTTGAACACAGGAGTGACTTCATTGTACTCAAATGGCCTCCACAGATCTTAATCTAATAGAGCACCTTTGGAATGTGGTAGAATGGGAGATTTTCATCATGGATGTGGTGCTGCAGCAACTTTGTGATGTTATCCTGTTAACATGGACCAAAATCTCTGAGGAATGTTTCCAGCATATTTTTGAATCTATGGCACGAAGAATTAATGAAGTTCTGAAGGCAAAAGGATGTCCAACACAGCACTAGGAAGGAGATAAAGTGAGTACTCAAGTATATACTCACTCACCACTAATCTCTGAGTATAAATATCTATAATGAGTCAACCTTTATTTACAGGGACTGCAGTCTCTTTCACACCAGCAGGAGACAAAGGCAGCTTTGTGTGCAGCATTAGTGCAGATTTTACTTTAAAAACAAAAGAACACAAATGTCTGAGCTATTTTTTGGTCTCAGTACTTCCTGAGATTTTGTCACATGACAAAAAAATAAGGGAAGTTAATCAGTTAAAGTAATGCTGTGTGACTTATTTATAATAAATACTGTTCCACTTTGATACTCTCTATATTCAATCTGGAACTGGCCCATTCATGGTGACTTTAATATGAGTCATTAAATCTTTTATTCTCAGAATCAAGGGAGGCAGATCTTTTTGAAAAAAAAAACCCCTCAGTCATACAGGAAATGATTTTTTTCTAGATCTTTAAGCAAAAACAGAACTTTGTCCGGTAGAGGAGAAAAAAAAACAGAAGAAAAAATGCTTGCATGAGCAGTGTTAGCCACCACAGAAATCAGGAAACAGACTGCCCCATACTGTCTGACTGGGAAGTGATCTCTGGGAGGTGATTCAACCAATTCAGCCAAATAATAGGAATAACAAAAACTAAACAAAATAGAGAGAAGTTAAAGATATAACCTTAACAAAATCCTCCTTGTTGGGGTTTACAGAATCGACAATTAAGTCCACATTTATTTCATGCATTACTGAGGCAACAACACCTGTCCTACCTCCCCCTTTAATGACCTCTGCCCATCGCCAGCTTCAGCTAAGCAATGTGCTGACAAAGTATGTGCATACAGAGATGGTCAGTCTACCTTTCATACATATTTATACACAATAATGGGTTTATAAATTTTCCATAACTTAAAGGTTTCCAGTCTGTCACCATTATTATGAATTATTCAACAATCACAAATGGCTATACGGTAGATGGGCCAAACGCTGTGCGATGAAAATTCATTTTATTTGGCTGGGCTCGGATTTCGGTGAATTTACATCGTCTGCGTTTTCTCAGCTTTTCTCTCCTATTCAGGCATCATCTTTGTGTGCAAGCTTCCTCGGTGGACAAAGAGCTTTCATTGCAGGTCTGCTAATTGGTTTGATCATCGCGAGATTCGTATCCAATTATCACACCTACACCGGCAACTGCGCCCGAAGACAATTCAGTCCCACGCATAAAATGACCCGGAGAGCTCCAAATAAAGCACTCAATGTGAATTTCCGAAACATATCTCAACAATAAAGTATAAATTTCAAATGCTAATGAGGCAGACAACGCTGATCGGCAAATCACGGCTGACTTAGAGATTTAACGATAACGAACGTGGTTTCTAACTGCAAATAGTAGATCATATGAAGGCTAACGGAAAGTTTCTTATACTAGTCAATACTCCCAAAAGCAAAAGACAAAACAAAGCGTAATTTAACCTGCATCCAACTTCTGAGCATCTCTTCTTATCAGACTATTTTTTATTTGTTCCGGGCTTTTATTGCAGGATGAAAGTTAATGTGCCTTCTTTAAACGTAACTAAACATAAACTGAATCATTTTGAGCCTTACCATAACAGAGTGCGTCCCCGTTTTCTTCCGTATCACCAGTGTTATATGCCTCTTTTCGTTATCAGTTTTCATGCCTCCTTGGCAGTGCGGTATTCTGAGCCGAGAGATAAAGGTGACATCCTGAATATCCAATAGCAGTCCGCGTTGATACACCGCAGCCAATCACACTCGAGCATAGGCGGGCTGAAACAGGGCTGCATACCTCTCCCTTCTTGATCAAGGTGGCTCTGGGGCTTTGCTTTAATCCTATCAGCCAGAAGTGTTTTAAATTGTGGTCTTCGCCACACTAAGGGTGTTAAGACTCAGCTCTAAGACTATAGGTTTAATTTAGAGCTTTGATTGAAAGTTATATGAGTTAAGTGAGATTTGTATAAAAAAATACACGTTATCCATGCAGCATATTTTGGTTTCTATTGAACTGTTCTATTGAACACAAATAATACTCTAAATAATAAATAATGTATTCGTAGAGTATTCTTGTTATTGGATGTTTGTTTTCCATATGAGTAACAAATGTAGTTTTGGTTTATTTGCTATCGAGGGTGAATTTTAACTTCAATATCCACTTCTGAGATATATCCTTTAAATTCTTTTTGCTGTTACATATTTAGCGACAGGAAAAATCTAATTGGTTTACCAACACCATCAACAACGACCCACTCTGCTGTATTTTTCCAGCTAGGGGAAGAAGTTCCTGTGACCTGTTAAGATTTTTTTCACCCATCCTGTTTTTGAGCCTGGATCTGCCATCTAGGAAACTATTGCAGGGTGGAAACACAAACTGTAGGAAGTGCCTCTCTCTCTGTGTCTGAATAGGATTCATGATTTAGCATGCACAGAGGAAGTAAGTTGTTCCAGCAGCTGAACGACTTCCCTCATTCTGACGGATGTGGACATGACAAAGCTGCCGGAGCGCTTATAGAAGAGGGCGAGAAATAGTGCCGTTCTTTTCCTCCCGTCTGTTTATAGGTCAGTCAGCTGCTAATTGAACAAAGATCATTGTGAAGATAATAATATAGCTCAGGTTATGGGCCAGTGAGCAGCCTCAGCAAAATCCAGACAAAGACTCTCTGTTCTTTCCACAATACAGGAGAAGGTCTTGTCCCTCTGGAGAGGATACACATGTCATGACATAAAAACATATCGAAGCTATTTATGACACCAGGTGATACCATGCTGGTTGTGTAACTTTGTGAGAAATATGTGGAATAACCCTGTTGTTTAACCTTCAGGTTGTTCATGCTATCTGGCCTCAGTTCTCGCTGAGGTGCCTTCTGATGAATAGGGCTCTCTGTTTATATTGATTCTCTCCTTAGCTGTGATGCCACAGAGAGGTTTCCTCTAAGGGCTACATACAGTTATATATTTATTGTTCAGTGAACAAAAGACTGAGGAATACCCTGTGTGTGTGGAGTGTGTGTGTTTTGACAGAACAAGACAATATTGATTTATGACCTGAACAAAAGAGGAATGCCCATGTAGAGTCTCACATCCTTTGTAGCTCAATAAAATAAAAAGGAAAACAATAGAAACATCAATGCTGGCTTTTTTCTATTCACTTTTGAATTATAATTATAGTAAAAATAAGTGCAATTCAAACTGTCTGATTCACTCTTAGTGCTCACCATATGACCCTTTATTGATAAATAATTTACTGTGTTTGGCTAGACGTGTTTTGGGTGAAGCCTGTAGCCGTGCTTTCGGTGAACGATCTGATGTTTCTTTCATCACCATATTAACATGGACACTCCTCCCAGAGCTCTGTCTCCATGGTCACCGCTCGCACACGACAAACACACAATGAGGGCCGACGCATGCACCTGCACAAGCTCCACTGCCTGCTATACTCTCAGTCACATTTGCACATGTTTTCTCTGAATGAGTGAAACAGTTGATCTAATTTATGACCTTATGAATAATGTATGTGGCAGTAATGGATGGGATTGCTGGGCATTAATGTCTGCTCTTCATTCAGTGCTGGCTTTGACAAAAACAACAACAACAAAAAAAAAAATAAAAAACAGGCCTTAATCCACCCACATGCACATGTTGGTACAAATGGTTTCATTTATTTGAGTGCATGCATTTGAAACTCCAACTTTTAAATTTGTACAAGACTCCAAAAATATACAAATCAGTCAAATATTTCATAAAAATCATTTTTTATAGCTTAATCACATAAAATAAACCTTATTGTGGAAGACATTGGTGCTTTCTACAAAAAGTTGGTGCAAGACCGGCTGGTTGTACGGAGTATGCGTGAATGCATTATTCTTTATACATCATTTCCATTGTGTGTTATCAGTAAGCACAGCGACATTCAGTCAGTAATCATAGGTGCAGTGTCTGAGGTGGTGTCTGGCTCACAGTATCCATCCATCTCTTCCATCTCCCTCTCCACAGGCTCCTCCCCACTTCTAAAGCATATTAGTCTCTTCTCTTTCCACCTCCTCCTCCTTTCCCCATCTGTGTCTTTAGGTGTTGTTGTCTGCTCCAGCTCCAGCATAGCCTGGATGCTGTCTCCTCTCTCTCCGGTGCTGAGGCAGTTGTCTCTGCTTGTCGGTGCCAGCCCCTGTCCTCTCCTGCCTGTCACCATATGGAAGAATGAGAAGGTGCCGTCTGAGCCCGTGCTTTCTGTCACAAAGACAGCAGTTGGGCCTTGGTTGCTGAAGCTCTCCTGCGGGCTTTTGGGAGGTTTGGTCTTTGTTTTCTTGCTCAGTATGAAGTTGAAAAAGGCTGTCACCAGAAGCATTGTTCCTGAAGTTAGAATAATAATGTCACCATTAATTTTCTATGCTACATCTATGCTTTTTATGCTTTTCCATGATAGGATCATCTGCTGCTGAAATGCCACAACAACAGGAAACAGTAATGTGAAGTATTGAACTTGCTGGTGTTGTTTTACCTGGGATGATTGCATGCCACACTAGCACAGGGTGCAGGAAACAGACCACTGACATGATGGAGTAGTATAGGAACTTATGAAAGCCTCCAATGCGAGCCATCTTCCCCCACAGTACAAACAACTTCCAGTCTGGAGGGCAGCTGTAGAGATATCAGGCAAGAAGGCAAGAGAAAAGTCAGGATTACTTTACATTATTACCGTTTAGACTGCAGTTTAGACTGCAAAGTTCAAAGTTTGAAAACCTCAAAGAATTGTGAGTTATCTTTGCTACAGTAGCCATGAGGGTTGTGTACTCACGGCAGACACATGGACAGGAGAGAATCCAGGAAATAGGCTAGTTCAAGAATCATGATCCCAATAAATGAGACTCTGGGGGTAGAAATTGGACAATGATGATATACTCAGTAATTTCTACACTTAAAAAGCAGCTGCAAGTGCTCAAGATATTATGGTTACATATGGTAAAGAAAACTTTTGTGACAACTGCAATTTTCTTGTATTTAGTTTACAATTATCTAATCCAGCAATAGAGAAAAATGCACCCAGACTAACCAGTATTACACACTAACCTCTTTTAAGTGTAATTGGTGTGTTGTGTGTTACTGTGCGTGAGGACGGCATCCATCTGCACTAACTTTATGTGTAGTGATTGAATAAACAGTCATTCGTTTCTAGTGTCCTTGGAGAGATGTTTTCTGTTGTCTCTGTGGGAATTTGTCTCTGTACTACAGAGATAATAATAAGAATCAGGATATGTCCTCTGTTCTGCCCTCTGCACCCTGCTTCAACTTTCTGAGTCCTTCCCAACAGCTCCTCTCAAGTGTGTTTATTTATCAGAGACTATAAAAGCATGTGCAGTGTTTTTCTAAACCATCTTCTTAAAGCCCTTGGGTCTTTTGCTTTGCCAGCTTTCAAAACCAGGCTGTGTATTTGTAACTCAAGAATGCCACCAGAGTCAGGAGTGCTTGTAAATCCCATCAGTAAGTCAAGAAGTAGACTCAAAAAGTAAGCGCTTACATTAGATAGATGCCAAGGCTGTTGAATTCTCCCTGATGTAGTGTTTCCACTCCCACAGCACACAACACTGAAAAAGACACGGGATAATAATTCAGCTTAATTCATGGATTTGTTGGTGAACAGATTCTGTCCACCAGATGTCAGAGTACGTTCATGAATTTTTCTGTGCTGGATGCTGGAATGCAGCCGAAGGTAACCTTCTGTAAATGCTCTCAGTACTTTCACTGGGATTAAACACTCTTGTGTGGTGTTTTCAGTGTTCTTTGGATTTATTTTGCTTTAAAAGTTGTCTCTATAGTGTTCTGTCAGCCACAGTAATTTAAAGCCGACTGAATGTTTTTCTCAAGAAAAGGGCAACTGTCTGTAGCACAAGGGATTCAAGTTAAAGTCACATTTACATACCACAGGAATGGTGGTACTGACCTAGTGATGTACATTAAAGGTATTTAAAGATGCTTAATTTAAGCAATTATTGCAATTGTTCCTGTCATGGTCACGAAACTTTGGTAATAACTTACTCATGCTTGCAATTGCCATACCAATGTCAGTAGGTAATTTTACTTGAGTGGACATATCACACAGTCACGCAGCTAGTGCCATAAAACGCCATCAATCCATGAGATCTGTGCTTTAGCATCAAGATAGTAAATCTCTTCAGCAGATAATGCTAACTGTGACTTAACTACACTTCTATATGGTAAATGTCAAACTAATGCCAGCAGTTGGTTAGTTTAGCAAAAATGCTGGAAGCATGGGTAAACAGCTGACTTGACTCTGTCCAGATGTAACACAATCCACCAACCAGCACCATTCAGTGTTCCTTTAACAGGAAGTTCTCCCAAGCTGTGTGCTGACAACAATAAAATACCTTTCATGCTACATGAAAGGAGACTACTGTGCTGGTGCGACACAAGATAAGAAATGACATGACAGCAACATTTTTAAAACTTTAAACAAAAGTGCATTTTATTAACCAGCCATTCTCTTGTGAGATAAGCCCGGTTAAATGGGTATTGCTGCCAAACACATGGAAGCACTTTCTCTGGCCTGCTTACCAGAAATCAAGAGATTCAGTGATACAATCTGCAGCAGAGGGAAACTCGGGTAATGTGGCTAAATGGTTTCTAGTAGTTTGGAGAGTATGTGAGGATTTAAAGCTGCATATAGAGCAGCTGGATATTAACAGAGCTGCTCCCTTCATGTACTGTGAGCATGTGGAACACACACAGACACCAACAGGCCAACCCAGACATGTGAACTCACAGCAGACTGCCAGCCAGAGGCACACACACATAGACATTTACCAAAAATAGACTGATACACACACGCACACATAAAAATAATGCACAGAAAGCTCATGTGGGCGCGAATGCACAACAGCTTGTGATTACATAATCCCAATAACCCAGCTGGACGCAGAGACTGTTTGTGTCATGTGTGGCACATGCTTCTCAATAAATATTCAGAGTCTGCAGATGTTTGAATTTAAGTGTGTGTGTGTGTGTGTGGGGGGGTCCCATATTTTTCTGAAGGAAGCAACAAGCAGACAGCTTTTGTGATGATTTACTGAGGCAAAGACAGCTTTGTACAATCTGTCCCTGTGTGTCTGAGGAAAACAGAAAAGGAGGGACAATAACGTAAATCAAGTATATGCTCTATATATCAGCCAAGACAGGGCTTAGTGCTCTTGGAGATCAAGACTATGTCACAGTCTGACCTTTTAACATTGTTTTTACAGACATGATGGGTGCCTCTTCCCCCGAGGAGATGTTTTAAGATTTTTAGAAAGATCTATAGGTGCACCCAAAGAATCTGGCTCATACTAAAACGAGAAGAGACACACATGACGCTAAATGAAATCTTTTGCTTTTCTCTGCTTTTTTTCATATTTATGTCTTACCTGTGGATGTAGAAATGCCAAGGAGCCTGCAGGTGCACTCGATTACAATCCACCACATTCTCTCTAAGCTCCCCATGACCTCAAAAGTTTCACCTTTGTAAAATATATATATTTTTTCCCAGCACCTGATCGTTATAAAAGTAGCATTCTAGATGCGTAGTTGAATCCTGGCTAGATGAACAGATGGTAGAAAAGCTAAAACAGAGCAATGCAGCACTTCCATGATGTGGAGCCTGTTACCTCATGAAGGTTTGTGGCTGAATGCCCCTGTTGCTGCAGTAACTGCTAATCACACACCACACACACACACACACACACACACACACACACACACACACACACACACACACACACACGTCAAGGAGAAACTATTGAGCTCAAGGTAACTTGCTGACCATTTTACATTTGTCATTAAAGCTGGTTAAAAATTAAATCCATTAAAAACCCATCTAGTACCTGATCCAAAGGTATTTATTTTATAAGCTGGAATGCAGAGAAGATCACTGACCTTGCTTTTCACCCAAATAATTTCTTCTCCTCTCTTTATAACATGTTTTCTTTCATCTGATTTCACCTTATTGTGAGGTTGTTGGTGATTCAGTGCAACCAAACCATCTGGAAGACTTCAAACAAACACCATCTTTTTTTCAAACCCACACTTCAACGTACAATCATCATTTTGGCACCCACTGATCCCAACTTTGTCTCAGCAGAATGAGCACTGATGAAATATACAGCAGCTTGCGTCAGTAAAGAAAAGACCATTTTTATGGGTTTGCACATATTATAAACAAACTGCACTCAGTATGCAGTGCAGTGCATGCCCGATTGGCTCGCTGCACTTTGTGAAGAGTGGCTACAATGGTATAAAAACAAACAGATACCTTTTGACATACATTCAAATGTAGCTCACATAATCAGGTGACGCAGGTTTCAATGAGGTGTAAGCTTGTTCAGGCACAGCAGAGGCCTACTGGAACAAGCAAGTCAGATTTGCAGAGTTCACACAGGCATACCCACACTGACTCCTGTCAGGGCCAAAGTAAGCTGCATAAATCTTCTTAATCTACAACAAAGACACTTTTGTGTTTTTGTACCAGTTCAACTTGTTTCTGGATATCTGTGGCATTTATGGTATTGAGTGAGTGTGGATGAACTGTGTGGCAAAAACAACAGATACTAAATGTGTAACAACAAATCCAACCGTACATTTGGTGCCACTTTTTGAAGGGAAGGCAACATCATTCAGATTGTTCATGTCTTGTGTGACTGAAATGTCTGTGATAGTTTTTACAAACACTGGATAAGATCCAGTGATTTTTTTCATGTGTGCTACGAACAAAAATTTCATTGACATTTGTTTATATGTCATTGTAACTTTTTGATGTACTCATTTAGGACACACAGTCATGTCCCCAGTCTGAAGGAAGTACAGCAAGATCCTCGGGCGAGTTTCCCTTTGCCACAAACTTGGATTGTGACCAAACAGTGCAGACGCATAATGATGCATTTTTGTGTGGTACTATAATATAAGGATCCTAACAGGCTAAACTAAGATGGAAAACATAGGAAATAGCAAATATCATAGGTTACCTACGCAACATCAGCTTGTCCACATTGTTGATATGAACACATCAGCATGCAATGATGTTCAAAGCACTGTATAGAGTCTCTATAGCTAAAGACAGACAGTTTTTTTTTTTTTGTATATTCACATTGTATGCAGATCGACTTTAGAAATCCTGCATGAAAGGATCCAAAATGCATTTGATTATTTGAGGTTTTCACTGACCATAACCCTCAGATATGTCATCACCATGATGTCACCCACTGGTTTGTCTGTTTCTGCTTTGAAACCATGGGTGAAATGATTTGACTGTCACCATCTTAGTTTTTCTAAACTGGAAATGAGGAGTGGGAAACTGTGAACACTACAAACTCACACAGTAGCAGCTTTCTAGCCTTTTCATTTATTTTGCTCTAAATAAGACCATATTTCCCAAAATAGCGATTGTGCGCTGTGACTTGTAAAGAATGACTGAGACTTTAAGCTGACTGGGAAAGTGTTTATTGAGGCAATAAATCACAAGAATGATTAGGTTCTCTTATTGCTTCTTTTCTTTGCGATTTCATTTTGAAAACAGAGAAGACGCCCCCTGCTGGTCTGGGGGAAAAGCATTTCAGCAGTGACTTCTCTTTTTAGAACAGCCATACTTTACGTAACTCTAAATCATCTGTGGTCTGGATGCTTCTCCTCTGGGGTCTCTAATACTTTTGGATCACAGAAACCAATTTTGTCCATAGTCTGTGCTATTGTACGACTGTAGCCAAACACTATGACCTCTCAAATCGGATTTCAAAGTGTCTTTTGTGTCACTCGCATCGGCACGAACAATGACATTAAACAAACACAACAGTTTAACCACACTTTTAATGCAATTGTGTTGATGAAAGAAAAAAGGGAGGTAGAGAAAATCTTGGTTAAACAACGTGCATGTTTAGACTGCAGTGCATTTTTGCACATGAACTACACACGCTTGAGGGAGGAGGAATGTGTGCTGTTCTGTACCATTATGGCCACAGTGGGCAGTGTGTGTATGTTTATTTGACTCTTATGATGACATATAAACAGCCTTATAACTACATAATTTATGGTAATCAGTCACTGTGTAGTGTTTGGGGATCCCTGCAGACATTTACTGTACATCATGAGTTACATGGCAATCATTTGGATATGCCAGAGGGTGGAACAGTTTAAAGAATTGAGTGATCGCCATCTGAGATTGTAAATCTAGTGTTACAGTATAAATACAGTCTCATGGTTTCATTTGGCCCGTGCAGCTATATGGACACATGTCATCTTTTGACATGGCTCAGTTTAACAAACTGAGCTTCTGTTCAGACTTCACGTTCTCTCACTCTGTAATCATCTCTGCTTTATCCATCCTCACCATTCTCATCATCTCTGCTTCACACAATTCTCTCCAGCCTATGGCAGTGAGACTTGAGATTAATTGTACCTTTTTTCAACCACATTCCCCCATCTAGCTACTCTCAGTCTGGAATAGTTGTCTGGTGCCTTTCTGAACCAGTGAAAACAGCTCTAATCCTAATTAAACCAGCAACTTTATTGGCCTGTTCTAATGCTTTGCTCAGACAATATCTCCATTATCCACTTTATCTCTGACATGCTATTTTATCCAAAGGTTAAGCTGTGAGGATTGACTGAATTAATTCCACTGTGATACATGATAGAATATGGATATATAAACATAGCTGTATCGAATCTTAGTATTAAACCACACAGAGGGATTAATCTCTGCTTTCATGGATCCTAATGACTTCATTTACAAATGCACGGAGTCCCCTAGTGGTTGAGAGGTACTGGTACACTGCAGCTCTGAATGACCTGTATGGTCATTGTCCATCAGATCCATGAACTGAGGGAGATATTTACATACTGACACTGAGCAGGAAAAAGTCATTTTTAAGCTCTTCTAAAAATTACATTTCTAATTATACCAAAAGGTCAACAGCATTAATCAGAAAGATGAAGTACAGACATGGGAAACATCAGAAAAATATGTGGTTGTGAAACAATCAAAAAAAAATATGGAAAGTTTCGGGAACCGTAAAAGGGTGTTTGCACTTTGATTTGGTCAGATGAACCACTTTTTAAAGAAGGTATTGTAGCGTTTGTGTGCTGCACAGTGCTGCCCACAAAAAAGCTAAATTCTACATCCCGATGGATGAAATTAATTTTTGCGTGCACACGACGAGCTTGAGTCCAATATCGATTGTCATCTTAACTCTTTTTTGGTCTCTCTCCTAGAGAATTTAATTGAAAACAACTGAGAGCAAAAGCATTTCTTACTCAAGCCACATCATACTAGTGGCCTGTACGGTGAGATATGGGCTGAGGTTTCAGTGCTACGAAGGCTCACTTCTTAGTGGGATATATTACAGTTGCAATTTGTGCTACAGCCTATAGACCAACCAACCAGTTATCTGGAAAACAGTGTCCCCTTGCCTAGAAGATCATTAAACTCTCAGATGAGCCACGTGTGGAACTCAGGGCTGCTCTGTATAGGTCTATCATGAGGGAGTCTGTAGTTTTCGGAGAAAGTCTAGCTTTCCCTGATGTGTATCAGTGAGATAAAGATTCTCAAAGACGTGAGCTTTATTCCTGGCTTCATTTATTTCCTCGGCTGGCAAAAACATTTCATCATTCTATCAGCATTTTTCTAGCAGCATTAAAGCTCCAATGTTTGAAGGTAAGCCTGCTTACTGGTTAAAATACTTTTCTTATTTGTGCTTTGTTTGCACAACATTTGGTCTTACACACCGCAGGATAATGGTACATGTAATCTAAGAATTAAGCTAATGTAAATACATGTTTGTAATTGAGATCTACCTTCACGAGTCACTGATTGATAAGCCCATTAACTTACACATTTAACATTTCTTTTGCCAACTTTTCTTCTTAGCCTTGGCTGCAGCAGCAGTATTGCTTTCAGCCCCTCATATATTTTCAAATTCCTCATATTTCTTTCATAGATGCTCTCTTTTGAGAAATATTGTATGTTACTCTAAACTTGTCCATGTTTGGTCCTCTGGTGCCATCTTGTTCCTTTCATGTTATCGAGCTCGGATAGATTCACAAAACCTGCGCTGACTTATGGAGTTCATAACCACGTTTGTGTGACTGATTAGGGTTGATGCTGATATTGGGCTCAGCAAAGCCACATTACTGAAAAAACATCATTGGTATGTTGAACTTGCTTTGTAGTACAAATTCTCACATACCAGTGAATTGTGTATATACTGTAGTGAGAGTTCATCGTTGGCTTCTCGGTCTGAGCACAGCTGGATGAATGCGCTGTTACATAAATACTTAACCCCAATCTTTCTCCTTCAAAGCTAATGTTAAGCTAATGTGTTAAGGTTTTAATTTAAACAGATTCACTTCTTCTGAAGTACAATCCCATTTCTGAAAAGGCTTCAATGATATGCAAATCTCATAAACCTGTATTTTATTCGCAATCAAAGACAGAATGCACATCAGATGTTTGACTCGAGAAAGCGTACCATTGGAGGAAAAAAAATGAGCTCATTTTGAAATTGATAGCAGCAACACATCCCAAAAACAAAAGGTAGGACAGAACCATGTGTACCACTGTGTGTTTGTAATAATAATAATAATGATGGATTGGATTTATATAGTGCTTTTCAAGGCA